GGGTCTGTTAAAACAAATACTAACTGCTTTTCATTTAAAATAGGGAAAACTTGCACATCTTGAGTTGAAAGGATTTGACTGATACATGATAAGGTTTCCAGGAAGTCTGAGGGAATACTAGGTATGATAAGCATTTTCTATAAAGTCATCTTAAAGTCGTTAGGAGTTTTTGGTAAGAATCAGCGTTTTAATGTAACCCCTTAAGTTTTTTAGCTTTGTAGATCTTTTCAGATCTATAGATTAGCATAAAGCTGAAGACTTTTTTTTTTTTTTATCTAGTAGGAATCTCTCAGTTGTAAGGAAAAAAATAAGCAAATGTTTCAGTTTGTCATTAGCAAATTATAAAAGATTTTTAGTTTATTTTCCCTTATAAAATAAAGCAGTTTAAACTTTTATTTCCACACTGCAGCTTTTATTCTTTTAATGAAGTGGTGGATTGTTTTATTGGCATTGTGAAGAAAATAACTTCTGAAAGAAAATTTCTGTTTTTCTCATATTAAAACAAAATGTACTATTATATCCAAAAATGGTTTTTCTAATTTTGTTTGTTTTAAATCTTTTCAATTACTCCTTTGTATTCACAATTAGGAAAAGAGTTTCTTTTAAGATTGCCAGTAGCATGTTATAGAAACTTTATTTAACTGGAGAATAAAAAGGTTGACCTCTTGATTGTCAATAATTAAGAAGCTTTCTTTTTAAAACTTTTAAGTGTTGAAAAGATGATTCTTCCAGGTATCTGTAGATAAGATACCTATCTTTTCTCTGATATATTGGTAAAATTGTAACTCAAACACTAGTTTGTGGAATTTAGAAGATAGAGCCACACCTGAAGGACATTCAGTTCTAGAATTTTGTTTATACAAATATTATAGTGAGCGTTTCATGCTGTTCACAAGTGCTCCTATGTGCAGTTTTGTTTCTAAAGTAGTCTTTACCCTAAAGTTATTCCTCTCAGATAACTTTTGATAGGATATACCCAAGTAATTTGGATCTTAAAAACACTTATTTATCTGAGAATATTTATTGGTTACTTTCCTTAGTGTCTTTGACATATCTAAGCTGTAAGATTCACAATAAAATTGTAAAATTCAGATAAAGATTTTCACTGTTACTTTTTGTCGCCTTTCATATTTTCTTAATGTGCTTTTCTTTTAAGAATAAGTTTTTCCATATGCCCTCTGTGGCAGATTTTTTATACATTTAGATGACACCACTAATCAATGGTGTCATCTAATTTTTTATACATTTAGATGACACCACTAATCAGTGTCCTAAATTCTAGTAATAGTGAGCAGAATAAGCATATTTTGTTCTCAGTGGTGATTTAAAGGTTCATCATTAAACTTCATATAATAGAATCAGAATTTTATAACTAAAAAGATACTTTAAAAATTGCATGGTTTTAACCCCTAATTTTTACAGGTGATAAAGCATAGGCCTATTATGACTCCTTAAGCTAGCTGCAAAACCCCACACAAGTTGCATAGCCATGAGAATCTTGGGCAGGATTAAACCCTGCCCTACGTTTCAAATATAGAGAGCAATTGTTATCATTAGCACAAATGAAGCCAGAGGGAGTGTCATCCCATTTGGTAAAAAGCTTTTAAAAATGTTTCATCTAGGAAAAACATCATAGGAATATTTCATTTCTAGAGAAAATTTACTGTCAAGAAAATAATGACTTCTCGTAACTCATTAATGGAGTATTAAGTTTGCAAAAGACAAAGTCAAATACAGTTTTACAAATATTTTAGTCTCTGTCACCTACAAAATGTCCCATTGCAAGATAACATTGTAATGAAAAAAACTGAAGTGTGTGTGTGTACAGTTGGACACTGTCCTCAGCTGGATAGCAAGGGAAAATAATTTAGGTCTTCAGGGAAAATATACTGAGTAATAATACTGAGTAATGTTTTCAGTTGCATATGATTTGCAGATAAATCAGAGCATGACATATGAAAATTCATAATCTCCTTTATAACCACATGTTCGTATAAATATATATATTCTCTTAAATACATCAGTAGATATTGCTATCATATTGTGAGGTAAAGTAAAATGATTTATTGTAAGACATTTTAAAACCTTTTGTTGATTTTATTACAGAAAATATTTTTTCTTTTTCACATTTTTTTGTCCTTTTTAGTAATGCATTGTTCTCAGTAAAACCACTTCATATTTGTTCATTCTTTTGTAGGGTGGAAATTTAAAAGAAATCTCAGAATCCTCAAAGTTTTTTTTATATCCTTGTTTTCTGACTACTAAAATTTAAAATTTTTCATTAATTTTCTCTTCAAAGGATAATGCTGTTAATTTCCTATAAGACCTTTATTTTTGACAGTAAAAAGATGCAAAATGGTATAGAGTAAAACACATTTCTGAGTTAATGCCCACTGTTTGGTGTGCTGGATATGTGTGTTTGTGTGCAGTGCTGAAGCGCTCTCTTCTGGTCTCTCAGCAGAAACACATCTTGTAGATGTGTTCCAGATGTTCCTTAGTTCTCAGGGCAGACTGCTGTTCTAGCTTCCTGCTGCTATGACATACTTGCTGGTAATTCAACATCACCATTTAAGAAATTAGTTATGTTATCTTTCTTTTCCTGATATTATAGAAAATTATGCTATGGTTTCTAATAGAAGAAAATCATATTCTTAATACAGGGAAAGATAAATCAGTCTCTATCAGTTTAAGAATTCTAGTTACCTAAACTACATAAATACCTTAATCTTAAATCATTTAAAGTAAAGTTGTAAATACATCAATTATGTAGAAAACCTTTTCTGAGGATTTACTTGAACAATGATCATTGTATTTTTTTAAGAATGATATAAAACTAGGAAGTGTACTTTTAGGAAACTAGTAAGTCTTTTCCTTTTTTAGTAAAAAATTTAAAGTCCTGAAACCTTCAAGAGTAACATTGTCACTTTTTTAATTAAAGCTCTTTTCTTGCACCTTTTAATATACATTTTTATATTCTATAAATTTTTATACAAATGTTTAATGTGATATTAAGTTCAAGCCTTTTTATACTTTGAGGGTGTTTCATAAAATTGATATTTTGATATTAACTTTCTGAATTCCATTATGTGCTAACTATATGACTTATTTAATCTAGAAATTATTAATACAAAAATATATTTTCCTTGTTTGTATTTTTTACTCTGAATTACATTAATTTTGTTTTCTTAAAATTAAATTTTACAAGTCTTCTTATGTTAGATATATTTACCAAACTAAAAATTTCATATAAATAACGCATTTAGCAAAGAGTTGAAACACAATAGGTCTTCAATAAATTTCTGTTTCTATAAAACCTACCTGGTAAAATTTATGAGGATAATATTATATTGTATTATAATTTCATATTGTATCACATTAAGTGGCTCATGATAGGAGGAGCCCATGAAACAATACACTTTTTACTATATTTTGTTTGTTTATTGCTTTTTTTTCTGCCTCCACCACCAGAATTTAAATACATTGAGAACAGGGGCCTATCTTTTTTATTCATCATCTTATCCCAAGGGTCTGCATAGTTCTTGGCACATAGGAGATGTTTAATATATAACTGTGCAGTGCTATTGAATAGCTAACATTACCAGTGGCATAAAATTATTATTTTATAAATGTGTTTTATCTTTTACACCTGAAAACAAATCTATAAGCTTTTAGAATTCTATTAACTTATAAAATACGATATAGGGTTTTTATTGACTAATTTAGTATCAGTCACTCAGTATATATTGAAGGAGTTATTGCAGAAGGTCCAGTGACTGGACAGAGATATAATATTCAATCCTTATCCCTAGGAAGATGGCAATACTTCATGCAATAGCATTTTAAAGAAAAAAGAATGAGTAAATCCATTTAGGTAGAGAGGATAGAAAATAAGGCAGGAAAATGTGGGATGCATTTTCATAGGGAGAATATTTAAGAGACTGTAAGTATTCATTGAATTCAGCTTGTTTTGAAGATGCTTAGCCAAAGAGCTCAGAATAGGGGGCTCCTGGGCACCTTTACAGACTGAAAGGCAAATTTTAGCATTTTAAGTGAATGTCTTACTAACATATTTACCAACATGGATTCCAATCTTAACAGCTCTTTATACCCAATTTAGACAAAATGTTTCCTGGTTTTTAGGATAATTTGGGTTGAATTCTGGGGATACTTTGAAATATTTAATCCTGAACAATAAAGATAATTTCTTGACAATAGTGACATGTTAGGCTTCTGGAATATTAGTATTGTGGGGTGAAAAGGATCCAAATTAGCTTGGCTGCAATTGGGAATATAAACAAGGAAGCAAATTCCACTTCCAAAAGAAAGAAAGAAATAGAATTAGGGGATTTAAATTTATTGGAAAAGTCAAAGATTTGTGCTATAAATCTGCTCCATTCAAAATCAGACCTCTGTGACTTCCAAGTGCCAAGTCGTTTTTCAAAAAGTGATTTCTCATGCTGACTTTAATGTTTTTAGAACATCTCTCTCCCCAGTTTACTGAACCTTCACTCTAAAATAGTATTTTAGTTTCACTCCATGACTTGTTACATTTCTGTGTCAAGCCAAAGTAGTAGATTGGATCTCTAAATCTATTATGGTGAGAATGATTTTTAAAAACTACTTAAATGTTTTTTATGTTACTTAGTAAATCCTTTATTTAAAAGAATGAAAAAACGAGCAAGAAATAATTCAGAGAAGCAGTTCTTTAAATCAATTAAAAATGAACACATAGTCGAAACCGGTTTGGCTCAGTGGATAGAGTATCAGTCTGTGGACTGAAGGGTCCCAGGTTGGATTCCTGTTAAGGGCATGTACATTGGTTGCGGGCACAACCCCAGTGGGGGGTGTGCAGGAGGCAGCTGGTCAGTGTCTCTTTCTCATTGATGTTTCTAGCTCTCTGTCTCTCTCCCTTCCTCTCTGTAAAAAAAAAAAATCAATAAAAAAATATATTTTTAAAATGAACACATAGAACCTACAGGAATGTTTCCTCTCCCTTCCAGGTACCGCAGGCCTGCACAGTCCCATGGTGGACCTGGAGAGCGATGCACGTCCCTCATTGTTGGGCCATCTTAGTCAAACGGCATCACTGAAGCGGGGCAGCAGCTTTCAGTCTGGTCGAGATGACAGTAAGTATATCTCTTTATGTCCATTTTGCCTTTTAAATTGGTACTTGTGTAATTTAAAACATTTTTCTCTTGGAAATTTTCATAATTAGTTCTGTTATTACTGTTAAATATTATCAACCATTGTCTCTTCTACTTATTAAGTAACTACCCAGTAATTACATTGTGCATTAAATACATGCCATTTGATTTCTTAGTAAGTCATTGGCCACAGGTCAGTATTTATTCAACATATTTAGTTAAAAACATAGTTTTATATTTTCTGTGGTTTAATATTTTTTAAAATATGCCACAGAAAAAATTCTGTGAGAACTTCAAGATTAATTTTGCAACAAAAGTGATTTCTGTTGTCAGTACAGAGAAAGACATCTTTTTAATGAATTTTAAATTTTGTTTGGAAAGGACTTACTATTAATCATAAGTTATTTTTTCTCATTAGATAAAGTATCTCAAATTGTAACCATGTTATATTTTTTTAATTTTGTAATGTTGATATTTACCTATTGTTTATTTACTTATATAAAATACATTGATTATAATGTAGGGGTGTGCCAATTAGATGCTGTTGATCACTGGTATTTCTAACCTCAATAATAGAAATAAAAAATTCAAATAGAGTAATAAAAATACCTTCCTTTATATTAAATTTGAATGCCCCTAAAGTTTATTTGGACATACTTCATGTTATTCTTACAAATATTGAAATAAGGATTTTTAAAAATATTTCATTAATAAATATGAATAAATGGCCATTATAAGAATACCTTAAAATTAGGTTATTCAGTTATACTTAATGAAGGGCTTCTATTTGATATTCATTCTTCTTATCCTGTGTGTGTATTCTCCACCCTGCTCACCAAACAATTAGAGAAGAGAACTGGTTGCTTCTGCCTGCTGTGCTGTAATGTGGCCCTGTAAACATGTAGACCTACAGCCTGACCTTGGAGTGCAGCCCACCAGTTTTTAAAAAAAATCCTTTTCAGGTCTTCACACTCTACCTCTCTCCTTCCCTGTTAATGCCATTCACACCACCAGTTAATATACTAACAGGCTTAAATAAATTAGAAATTATACTTGAGACTGACTATAATGAATTATATCACCTTGAACGGTTCAAATTTATCTTGCCTGGGTTTTGTCAAGCTTCTTGGATCTAGTAATCTAGTTGATCAAATCCTGGACATTTTTTGTCAAATTTGAAAAAAAGTTGGTCGTAATTTTCTCAAATGTTTCACAGTCTGCTTCCTTTTCTGAAATTCCAGTTATGTGTATGTTAGGCCAGTAGATTACCCTATAGATCACTCAGGCTCTGTTCCTCACTCCCCATCTGTGTTTCTTTATGGTGTCAATTGCTAAGCTTTCAATTTCTTTCATCTTTTATCTGCAGTGTCTTTACCTAAAAGTTACATACTGTACTTTTCATCTCTAGAAGTTCCAATTGGTTCTTTTAACTATCTTCTCTTTCATTATTTTCATATAAATATTTTAACATTGCCATTATTGGATAATTCTGTCATCTCCACTATTTTTGGATCTGTTATTATTGAGTAATTTTTCTTCTGGTTTCTGGTCCTGGTTTACATTTCCTTGCCTTTCGGCATGGTTAATCAGTTTGTTTTTTATTATTGTTTCCCAGACTCTGTGACTATCTGATGTTGAGTCATGGTTTTATTGCCTTGCTTTAAAGAATGCTAGACATGGTTTTACCAGTTGCTTACAGTAAGTTTGATCCATTCAAGGCCTGCTGTAAGTTGCTAGAGCAGGTCTAGAGTTACCTTCATTCTAGGGAAACTTCAGCTCTATTACTGACGTGTGATCTCTTGGATCGCCACTGAATGAGCCAAGTAATTGATGAGAAATGTTCCTTCAGGCTAAGAGCTCTGGGAATCCTGATCTTACACCATAAATGCATGACCTAATACTCAGTAAAGACTTAAGATGACACTTGCGCAAATTTCTAGAGCTTGGTTTTTCTACTTTGCATAAATCTTCCCTGTATCATATTTCCAATTCACCTCCTTGAAACTCCTCTTTCCAACTCGGAAAAGGCCACTGAGCTTTGTTTTCTAGTTGTTTATGACTGTTAAACTCATGTCACATTACCTTTAGGACTCATTGGACTCATGTCACGTTACCATTAGCACTGCCCATTTAATTGTAGGAGGCCTGTGCTGTTTAGTATTCCTGGTGAGCATCATGGACAGACTCAGAGTGCAGTTACAGAATTAGCACACAGTGACAATCAGTAAAAGTTTGCTGTTAAAAAGTGCAAGTTTACAGGTGCCCTAAGCAAGGAACCATGCCTTTCCCATATATGACAATTGAATTTAAAGCTTTCTCAACTCTTAACATAGACAAAGGACTAACATGCCCAATATAATAAAGAGACTCTACAGGCGACAAAAGGCAGTTTCAAGGCTCTTAAGCATACCTGAATAGGTACTCAACTTCAGTCATAATAAAAACTGAAAAGGCATTGTAACACTACAGTGGGATGCTGACTTACGAAAAACCTCCAGTATTTATGGTTTTGGGTTTTATGTGTTCTGTTTGTTCATTGCTAAGGTTATGAGGAAGCTGTAACTTGCTTGTGGGTGTGTAAATAGTCCCTAGTGTGGTCAGTTTAATGATACCTGTCAAAACTACAATTCTGTGTACTCTTGGACCCAGCAGTTCCCTTTCTGAGAATGTATTCTGTACTTATGCAGACCGTCCCCCACTTAATGATGGTTCAACTTAACAGTATTTCAACGTTGTTACATGATATGAGAGCAATACACATTCAGTAGAAGTCATATTTCTAATTTTGAATTTTGGCGTTTTTCTCCTGGGCTAGCCATGTGCAGTCTGATACTGTCTTGTAATGCTGGGCAACAGGGTGAACACTATACAGTATACCATGTTGCCAGCATTTTGATTTGTGTTTTGTTTTTTTTATATTGGCTTCTGAGCACGTTTCATGTAGGTGAGACTTAGTTATAACATTTAGTAGGTTAGGTATATTTAGTGCATTTTCGACTTCTGATATTTTCAACTTACAATGGTTTTTTTTTTGTTTGTTTGTTTTGTTTTTAAATATATATTTTATTGATATTTTACAGAGAGGAAGGGAGAGAGATAGAGAGCTAGAAACGTCGATGAGAGAGAAACATGGACCAGCTGCCTCTTGCACACCCCCTACCGGGGATGTGCCCGCAACCAAGGTACATGTCCTTGACCGGAATCGAACCCGGGACCTTTCAGTCCGCAGACCGACGCTCTACCACTGAGCCAAACCGGTTTTGGCCAACTTACAATGGGTTTATGGGAATTTAATCCCATCGTAAGTTAAGGAGCATCTATGCTTGCACATATGCCTAAATGATGAGGTATACTTTACTGGTTGAAACATTAAAATTAACTGGAAAAGATGTGGAATAGTCCTGTTCAGTAGGAGGGGACTTACTAGTATTACTTAGTAAATTATGCTACTTTCAGAATATGAACTACTATGTAACGGGGACAGGGGGGAGATATAGAAGCATCTAGGATTCACTGTTAAGTGAAAAAAAAAAGCTGTGTTTTTAGTATGCTCTCATTTGGGTGTGGGGAGAATACATATTTCTGTTTCCCTTTGTACTTAAAAACATTTCAGAAAGAATCATAAGAAACTAGTAACAGTGATTTCTTATGGCTGGAGTTGTGAACTAGACAATGGGGGACAAGGGTGGGTGTGGACTTCACTGTACACCTTTTAACTTTACTTGCCATATATTGTCTATTTAGAAAATTGTTAAACATTGGAAAATAAATAAAATCCACCTTCTCCTACTAGAAAGCAATGATAGTAATAAACCACAAAACATTTGCCTGGGAGTATTTTGAAAGCAAGCCGGTAGTTGATGGAGGATGAAAGTTCCCTTTCTTAACCTGCTTTGAAGTTGCTGAGTAAAAGTTAGAAGTTGACTCCAGAAGATCTCTTCATAACTGTTGTGGAATTGGACAGTGAGGATGCCTCTGACTTGCCCCTGTTGGAGGCTCGGAAGCAGAACCCCAGGCCCAGGGAGCAGTGTGGAGGGAAGAAGAAACAGGAAAGAGTGTGATATAGAAAGATGGGAGAGACTGGAAAGTGATTAATGATCACTAAATTACTACTTTGCTTTTTATTCCCACAGACTTACCCTTCCCATAAGAAATCTATAAGACCGTATTTCCCACTTCCTACAATAACCACATTAAATTATATGTAAACCAAGAGACTTCACATTTTTATATTTGCTTACATTTCTTTGTTATGGGAGGTGTTATTAATTACATGATTGTGTTTGAATGTGCTCCTTTGTGATTATTTGACTTCTTACTGAATTTTCACTACATAGGGTGTTTGGTGGCATTCTAATAGGTAAGTTGATATTAGCTTCAAATTTAAATATTGATGGGGCAGCCTTGCCTTTGTCTTACTTTGCTGTTTGAAGGCATGACTTTTTAAAGAGAAATATAACATCCCAAAGACAACAAGGTTGAAAAGCCAAAGCAACTTCCTCAGTGAAGTCCTCTCTGCTGTGTCCTCCTGACCTGCATGTCCTTTCCCTGCCTGCCATTCCCCAGGAGAAAGCAGGGACTTCTGCGAAGAGTGTACTATCTGTTTGTGGTATCACAGAAGAATAAAATATTGGTCTTTCAGCATACTAGAGCTCTGCAGCCAAAATGAAGCACATTTTTAGATGGGGAGTGGTATGTTTAAACAGATTTTTATTCCTGTTTCAAAAGTATAGTCATGGTATTTTATTCTTTCCCCCTTAGCATGGAGATACAAACCTCCTCACCGGGTAGCATTTGTTGAAAAATTGACCAAGCTTGTTTTAAGTCAGCTGCCTAACTTCTGGAAACTCTGGATTTCATATGTCAATGGAAGCCTTTTCAGTGAGGTATGTATACAAATATGACAATTGATGTAGGTGAGTCATTGTCTTAAAAATTTTAGATTCTGAAGTGACTTGTTTTGTTTTTAATCCTCAGCAGGGATATTTTTTTCCATCGCTTATTAGGGGGTTGGGGGAAGGGAAAGACAGAGAGACAGAGAGAAAGATTGATGTGAGAGAGACATATCAATTTGTTGCCTCCCACACACAACCTGACTAGCACTGGGATCAAACCTGAAACTCAGATACATGCCCTTGATATGAATTGAACCCTCGACCCTTTGCTGCAGAGGCTGATGCTCTAACTATTTAGCACATCAGTCAGGGCCTGAAGTGATGCGTGTTTTTTTAAACCTTAAGGGCCCATTACCTATAATAACTATTGTCAAATATTTTAAGATTAATCAAAAGCACTGTAAATCCCCAAAACTTAATAGCTGCATGATTTTGAACAAGTTAATTGTTCTGGGACTCAGTGTCCTCAACTGTGAAAAGAAAATATTGAGTGTATCTATTTCAAAAGATGATTATGATGATTAAATAAGATAGTCAATTAAAGAAAAAAAGAAAATTTGAAATATTTTCAAGGATTCTGAAATAAGGATAGTGTCTGGTGAAATTATGGGTGAAATTATTGTGCGATGGACTATGAACATATGATAAATCAAAGATAAAATGCTTTTACAGTTTGCACACATGTTCGAAATAATTCATATAATTAAGTGATCTCCTAGTTGGAAAGAATTTAAAAATTTGTGTTAGCCCCCATATGGTCATTCTACAAAAGTTGTTATATTTTCACAAGTCACACATTTACTTAGTTTCTTAATCGTAACATAATTGGTATCATAGAAGTTATGATTTTTATGTACAGCACCTGGAACTTAATTCATCACTCTAAAGCAAGGGTGGGGAACCTTTTTTCTGCCAACAGCCATTTGGATATTTATAACATCATTTGTTTAATATAATTCATTTAATATAAATTTATGTTCCTATGAAAAAGCTCCTAGATTTATTAAATTCCAAGTCCTGCCTTGCAGGGCTAGACCAAATTATTTCATGGGCCTTATACATCAGGCAGGCTGGACGTTCTCCTCCCTCCTTCCCCTCTCCCGATCTATAGTCTCACTTCAAGTGCCCCAGGAACGGGCCCTAGGTCCTGGAATATACACTGTAATGCCCTTTGCCTCCACCTACTAGGAAAGCCCCACTTGTCACATGCAGAAAGCAGTTCTGGCTTCATGTCTCCAGAGAGAACTCTTTTATAGCCCTGAGAGCTGGGGAGGTAGGGTCTTCCTAATGATAAAGCTATTTCCTGCTTCTTTTGCACTTGCCCCCACTGTGGCTGCTAAGCTAGGTATAGGTTTTGGTTTCTTTCCCTCTCCCTCAGTGGCGGTTGCTGCACCACTCACATAGTGCCATAGCTTCCTCTCTTAATCTGCTCCCTCTCGAACTCAGATTGCTTACATAAGAACTAGAAAGGTTAGACGCTGCTCTATCAGTGCTATAGGCAAGTAGTGTTTGCATTTTTTTCTTATGGGACCACTAGTGTTGAATGAGAAACACCCAATATTTATCACATATTAGTTGCGACCTTAGCAATAACTTTACTTCTCTGTGCCCAATCCACAGGGCTGGCTTGAGAATTGAATGAGTTAGCATAAATTATGTACTTATTACAGTATCTGGAAAGTAAATAAGAATTTTCCCTTATTATTTGGAATAAATATGTATTTAAAACTCATTGTCCTGGTACATAAAAGATATTTGGTGATCAAAGTTTAATAGCATTTAAGAAATACTGGACTGATGAACTACTAGATTAGTGTAGAATAATTTCAAGATAGGTGAACTCATCTGAAGAATTATTTCCTTAGGAAATGGATTTTAGACCTAGTTGTTTTCCCTAGCCAAGTGTTTTCTTCCTTCTCATTGGATCAGTTCCTATAGGCCAGGGATGGGAAACCTTTTTTTCTATCAAGGGCCATTTGTTTACCAACGGTATTTATCACGTCTTTCTTGGGTTATACAAAATTGTCAACTTAAAAGTTAGCTGCTTATATTTGGTCATGTATTAAATTAACTCACCTCTAATGCCTTGGCAAGGCCAGACCAAATGATTTCTCAGGTCAAATGTTTAGCACCACACATCCACAGAAGTTTCCTTATTCTGGTTCTTTTTAGAGTTTATAAAATTCCCATGTATTTTTGACCTGAGGTATTTTAGTGAAGGGGATACATTTTCCTTCCTTATAGGTTATACCTAGTTATAAATTAAATAAGCTACTTCTGAACTCAAGAACATTAGTACTGAAAAAATGGTTTTAATTGTTGTATTGAGTTGGATATGCTTATGGTATTTCTACCTATCCATATTTATAAAATGTTCTTAAAAGCTTATAGTAACTATTAAATACTAGAGGCCCAATACACAAAATTTGTTCAAGGGACTCTGCCCTTGCAGTTGGGGCGGCTTGCCTGGGCCCTTGCAGCCCCAGTTTTGTCTGGAAGGTTGTTCAAAAGACTTCTGATCTCATTAGCATATTACACTTTTATTATTATAGATAATTTCTCTACAAATTTGGGCATGTTTTTAAACTACTCTCTACTGAAAAGCTAGAAAGACACCAAAGGGCAGTAGAAAGGGATGGATGAGTTAAGAAAGTGTGTTTACCATTTCAGTCTATGAGAGAGATCTAGAAATGTAATTAAATTAAAATTGGGAAGAGTTCTGAGCTTTTAATAATTGCTATTTAATCTCATACAAGAAAGCACTGTAATATTGAAAAAACACAGTTTACTTGAAACTTCTTATTTTCTTTTTAGAGAACTTTTTTGTTTTATTAAGAGCCCATCCGTTGAAGATTTAGATGGAGTTTTCAACAGTTTAAAAAATAGTCAGTTCTTCAAACCAGTCAAGCCCATGTGAAGTAACATACGTGAATCAAAACAGTGAAATCTAGCCGTTGGTCTCACCACAAAGTAGTTTTGGTCTGTGTGTGCAGGAAAGAGTTAAGGTTTTTAGTTAACGAAATGGTTAATAGTAGGTTAAGATCTCATCTTTAGATATATTTTAAAAACAGTGTATTTTGGGATGAAAGTTTTTAAAGCATCCAAATAATTTTTAAATTGTGGGAATCAGAATTTATAAAAGTTTAATAATTTATATTAAATAGCACTTTATGTTCTAAAATTGGATTAAAAAATAGAGCAAACCTTACAAAATTCAATATATTAGAGATGTTTAGTTCTTCATTAGATTAAAACAGTAAGTTAAATTTTTAATTAACAGTTGCAAAAGGTATGCCTTACAACTGATTTCCCTATCCCTTCCATTTTCCATATATTTGGAAACACGTTCTTGAGGTTTATAAAATTATTCTGTGCAGTAGATGGCATCATTCACTCAGCACATATTTGGTGGCCAAAATTTAGCCTTAATTCTGATATGATGTATTTTAATAATTGATTCTCACTTTTTTCTTTGCTTTGAAACTATTTCACAAAGGACTATGAAATAATCTTCCCATTGAGTAAGCCCACTATGTGAAAAGTTCAGTCTTAGGTATTATAGCTGATACAATAGAAAAGACACCGTTTGACAGTTAAGATACTTATTATACGGGCATGACCCTTCATTGAGACAAGTGACACCTTACCTTCCTCTACCAAACACTAACTAAGGTCGGTGTTAGGGTTCAGAGATACAGAACCAATATCCTATATCAAACATATATATCAAGAGAAAGAGATTTATTATGAGGAATTTGCTCGTATGATTATGGAGTTAACAAGTCCCAAGATCTGCTGCAGTCAGCAGACTGGAGACTCAGGACAGCCCACTGTGTGGTTTCCATTTGAGGACCAGCAGCCTTGAGACCCGGGAATTGCCAATATTTTTGTTCCAGTCTGAGGACTGGAAAAGGCCAGTGTCCCACCTCATGCAGTGAAGTTGTGAGAATTCCCTTATTTTGGTCTTTTTGTTCTATTCAGGCCTTCCACTGAGGAAGGCAAGCTGCTTTCTTCAGCCTGCAAATTCAAATATTAATCTCTTCCAGAAATATCCTCACAGACACACCCAAAGTAATGTGTAACCAAATTTCTGGGCCCCCATGGCCCACTCATGTTGACACAAAGAATTAACGATCACCAAGTCCTTAACATACATTTCCCAGTACAGGATGCCAGTGTTCTGTGCCTCCTGACATCACAGGAGGTGATGGGTTCCTCAGCAAAATATGAATTCCACATCTAAAATAGTCCTCCCAGCCGAAACTGTTTTGGCTCAGTGGATAGAATGTCCGCTTGTGGACTGAAAGGTACCAGGTTCGATTCCGGTCAAGGACATGTTCCTTGTTGCGGGCACTTCCCCAGTAGGCTGATCAATGTTTCTCTCTCATTGATGTTTCGAACTTTCTATCCCTCTCTCTTCCTTTCTGTAAAAAAATCAATAAAATATATTTAAAATAAAATAGTCCTCCCAACCCCCAACAATCACACAAAATTCTTAATCCTCTGGTCTTCTCTTTTGTCTCCAGGAGAAGCATTGGGTCTGATGGACATTTCAGGAGCATATCACAAGTTTATGCCATGCACACTTTCAAAGGGTCAGTCTGCCAAGTGACGACTTAGGACTTCAGGTGTTCTAAAGGCCTTTCGAGTAACCCAGTAGTTATCAGGGCCATCCTGCTTTCTGAAATGTATTCCAGGATGTTCTGAAGAACCCTACCCTTTGGTGATACTTCATTCAACAGATATTTATTGAATGCCCTGAATAGCCTCTATGTGCCAGGTATTGAAACACACACATAAATATACACATATAATACACCATTTTAATATACATACATATTATATGAGTAAAATAGTGACCAACGTAAAAATGACCTCTCTCCTCCATCCTAAAGTTTGGTAACATCTATAATAGAAACAAATAGAGTCTTAAGGAAAGAACATCCTATGAGATGGAGGTCTGGGAAGGTCTCTGTGGAGATGTTATTGAA